GATCCTCTCTACCCCTAGTTAACGCAGCGAAACTCTACCTCAAACCCCATCCCCCCCTCTTCGGCGTTACGTAATTTACGTACCGCTCTTAAGTGGATACACACAACAGAAACGAGTTGTGTTAATTATATTTGTGATACAGAGCATTTGATATTTAATTCCGGCTATTGTGTGCCGGCCATTTAACATTTAATTCCGTATTATGCTATCCGAAACACACTTATTTCTTGCCTTCCTCTCATCCATGTTTCTAAACGTATATCTTTTATACAACTTAATCTCCTTATACAACAAAATTTTAGTGTACAAGACAATAATCAAGCCAACATGGACTTGCGGCATCGAACTCTGGGGAACTGCCAGCAAGTCAAACGTGGAGATCCTGAGAAGATTCGAAACAAAAACACTGAGATATATATGCAACGCTCCGTGGTTCGTCACCAACAATAATTTGTACAAAGATTTGAACATCTCAACAATATCAGAGACTATCTCGGAGAGAAGCAAGAGGCATCAGAAGAGATTGGGATGCCACCCGAATCAACACTCAGTGACCATGTTGGACAATACTGAACATGTGTATAGGCTAAAGCGTGAACATATTCTAGACTTACCCTTTAGATTCTCTTCATAGTAACTTCTGTCATGTATACCATTTACTAATTGTTCCAAGTGAACAGATTGTAAATTAGCAGAATTGAAGAAAAAAAAATGTTTCTAAACGTTTCTTTGATGGGTCTCTACTCTTCATTACGTACTCTTATTATTATTGTTATTGTTAATATTGCTTTTATTATTAATATTACTATTTCTTTTATTATTATTGTCATAATTATTATCGTCATGGCCCTTATACAGTGAAATGATGTGAAGTGTAGTGCAGTGGGGGGGGGGGAAGGGAGTGTAGTGTAGTGAAGGGGAGTGCAGTGCAGTCTAGTGTAGTGTAGTGAAGTGTTATGTAAACTAGATGTGAATTTAGAGTTAGCTAGAAATAAATTGGAACTATTATATCGACCCCCTAATTCTAATAGTAAACCCAATTGTAGATGTTGAAAATGTTTAGTAATTCTAATTTTAATTGTTATCATGTTTGCCACTGATAATTAGCTCAAAGCGAACTTTAATCTATCTATCTATCTATCTATCTATCTATCTATCTATCTATCTATCTATCTATCTATCTATCTATCACTCCCTTCCCCCCCCCCATTCTGGTGCATCCCTCTTATTGATGGGGTCCATCCATGGACTGCGTGTATTCTAGTTTCACTGGTGCGGGTTTTCCGTACGGTGACCTCGCATACACGTAAGTTTGGACAATGTGTCGACAACCCGCGGATAAAAGTGGAACGAACGCAACCATTGTGTTCTTAATTTCATTCAGGATACGGGCATGTGGATGAATGTATTTTAAACGAAACTCACTCACGAACTATTTCGTTGAAATATTACGAAGGGAATTTTTTACGGAAGTTTAGCAAGAGTTCAAATTATAGCGTCTATTTTAAGTCATGTTTTTCGAACTGCTACGGAAAAGTGAAACGTAATGCAAACGGAGTTTAACATGGAATTTTAAACTTACTACAATAGATTATGTCCTCCCGAAATTAATGTATCTTGGAAATATTCGAAAATCGGTAACTGAAAACCTACTTACCATTCGAAAGTGCAGTATTTCGAATAGAGTTTTGAATAAAACGATGCAATTGAAAGCTCATTCATACGACTCATTTCAGATTTACCAACAGAAGTATCAAATTCGGAGGAATAATGAAGTAGGTAGTGGGTGAAAAAGTATTAGGATTTTTAACTTTCATCTCACACTAAACAGACGCATTCCTCTAGTACTAAGTAGAAAGAGTAAACATTGCATTATCTGACCTACTATTATTTTCTATTGTATGTTCGAGAAACGCCAAACGCAACGGGTAAATCAGCAATAAATCGTATTCTTGAACTTTCATGAGCTTTTAACCGAATCGTGAGTTATGTCCTAATATATTCAATCGTGAATATTTGCGGACGCCTTGTTAAGTTAAGAAGACTCTCGAGCCTATACTAAATGTAAAACATAAGTTTTTAGTACAAACTTCAGGGTTTTCTGCACTACAGTTTCTGTTCTGTTTGGCGTGTTGTTTTGTTTAGTTCTCGGACAATTCGCTCCCTTACTCAAGGCTACTTTAATCTATCCTTACTAATCCTAAGTCTAGTAATTATATTCTTTCATCACATTTTCCTAATTCTCTATTTACTCCAATGTAATGAGAACATTGTCTCATTAATTTATCCTACCACCCAACCTTCACTTTTCCTGGATCCGGCAAGAAGTAGTACAAGATATTTGGCATGGCGTCTTTGTCGTAATACAAACAGACACTTTTCTTTCATTCACACTTCCGTCTCTCAGTACACTAGACACCCGTTACACAAGTCACGGAGATGCAGAATTTACAGCGGAAATATGAGACACACCCACGCACTACGGAATAAAATAGTTCTAGTTGTTTTCAGCAGTAATATTAATTGCACTTGCCAAAATTTTATTTTAAAATTAACTTTGATTTATAAGATAAATAAATATACAAGTAAATAAACTTTCATCGAGTGATTTTGTACTGCTGTTTGAGATTATTGACAAAACGGTAAATAAATAATTATTGTATATCAATCTCAAACTGGCCACAAATCATTACGATTTCCGTAAAAAAAAGACAACTATTTTTCAAGCCGAAAAAGAGTAGAAAAAGTAGTGCGAAAGCACCCTGGATACAGAATGATAAATACTATTAAAAATTACAGGCGTGGTTTATTGAGTAATTTCAAAATTCAGTTATATACAAAAGAAAAAAAAAACATCTGGGGGAATCGATTAAAACATGATTTATCTGTTTCTACCTTGGATGATTTTATACTGCTGGGTAGACATTCTGCAACTTCGTCGTTTATTTTAATGGATATATCTGTTCTTGGATATTTCAGAGAATGGTCATTGTTTAAATCAACGTTTTGCATTGCACATACTATTAGTATTATCCTCCTAAAGAAGTCGGAAGTGTGTAGTAGGCGCCGCATCTTTAGAAGAAAGTCATACATTTCGGTCCAGGAAACTTAGTTTTCTGAGGTACGAAATAGATTTACGAAGTTTCCTTTTTTCTTTAAATTAATACAAATATTCTTTTAATATATATATATATATATATATATATATATATATATATATATATATATTAATAGTACACTCACACATCAACACAAATATCGTACTGCTTAGTGTAAGACTGCTAAATCAGAGAAAGAACTTTGAAAAGGTAGTGCGTCATACGACATAAATGGTAAGGCATAACACTAGCAAGTTAAAAAGGAGCGAAAACAATTGAAATTATTAAAGCAGTGCCGTATTTGGAATAATCAGACATAGTAAGAGTAATCGGGTAACATCCGTGTTGCTTGCGTATGTCCGTCCGCTGTTTCTGTATGTCCGTCCGTTGTGGCTGCGTGGCCATCCGTTGCTAGACATCTTACGTCAACCACTCGAGGCAAGTGAGGTATCGTTGGTTGCGACTGTCTACCGGTGGAACAAACTTGCTTTTTGTAGGAGGAAATTAAGGATCTGAAACGGGTTTTGAGGTGGGTTAAGACAGGGATCAATATCCAATTTGATTAACTTCCACTATAAAAATCCATTGGCATTGTTTTTATCCTTTCGAATCCTTATAGAATATTCTGAAAAAGCTCTAGGAAAAATGACTTGTGGTGAAAAACTGGTTACTGCTTTACTGTTTTCTTGATTCACTAGACAAGTTGTGTCTTGATGCACCAAACTGTACATAATTCATCTTAATTTTAAATTGGAAATGATCCACTTATGTTGTTCTGAACCGCCAGCTTTGAAGATGAAATATCACTTCAAAATAGTTGACTATAGAAACATTGTAATTTTATTTCCCCGATCAATCTTATTAACTTCTTTTTTTCAATGATTGCACTGTCTCTTAAAGAATTTAAAGTTTCACTCACTCGTATTGACTCATTCTAGATTCTGCAAGATTATTTAAAAAACAAATACAAAAGTTACTAACACGTCAAAACGTTTGTTCACATTAAAAATCATAAGTTTAATTCTACACTTTCTTCGATAGTAGTTACCAACAGTTAGTTTCACAAAGTCTACTTGTTGCACCGTGCAAACTAAAATTGGTCGATACGGACGAGTGAAACTTTAATTTATTACATCTTACTGGATATCTACTTGGGCCGTTAAATACGCAGAGTCGAATTTCGTAATGAACTAAAAAATTGTGAAAACTAAAAACGGGTGTTAATCGACACTTTTTGATGAAACCTTCTATGCCCTATGATGGACGAGTCAGACAATAATATTATGTTTGAAATGTGTTTTTATTTATAACATGCATAGAACAAATATAATAATTATATAACAATTATTGTTCAATGTGACAATGCCTCGGATGCGCCAAGAAAAGCTACTTTAGAAATAATGCGAAACATGCATTAAATAATAAAATAAATATGTAAAATCATGAAACGTTTGATTCAAAACCCCTGGAAAAGAACAAAATGCCTAGAGTATGTGTTCCATATTCTCCATATACCACGTCGTGTCGCTCATTAGCCTTTGCCCTCAAGGTTTAACGTTCCCGGTAACGAGATCGCAAACTTTTGGTTTTCTGCCGACGACGAGGCGCCAATCTTTCAAAAGGAACAAATAAGGAAAGAAATGGCATTACATAAAAAGAGGGGTCGTCTACCAAACTGTAAAGCCCTAAAACGCAATTGAACGATTTCGACATCAAACGCAACCGAGAGCATTTCGATTTAACTCAACAAAACCAGCAGTTCCAATCACACGCCAACCCCACCAGGAGCGTGTCGCTGTACGAATATCACCGCTTCTGAGAAATTTCAGCATCACTAAGCATGGGCACTCCCGATATTCCCAGGGGCATCACCAAATCGTGGAATGACGTCACAACCGCCACCATGATCGCGTCCTCCGTCACAGCCGCCGCCGCCACCGCCGCCACGCCGCTAGTCCGCGAAGTGTGACGTCACGGGGCGCCGGCGCGAAAGCGTCATAAAAGACGCGGCGGAGAGAGTCTGCCGTCAGTGCTTGTCTGGCTGGTGCACGGGGCGTCGAGATGGTGCCTCTTCTCGTGTTGGTGGTGCTCACAGGTGAGTCCACGCTGCCTCCTAGCGATTCGAAGGTTGCGCGTTAGGTTGATATTGGAATGCACAACCCATTATGATTTTTTTCCTTCCCGGCAGGAATGTGGTAAGAAATATCGCTTAGCTATGGTTATTAAATATCTGGCTAAATTATTAAGTTTCTTTAATTTACTGAAAAATTCTTGTAAATAAACCGCAGTAATATTAAGTAAGTAATAAGACAAAAATAATTACATGATCTTAAAAGAAACTATCACCACAATATAAACAAAAGGGTTAGTGTATGATCATTGAACCATAAACAACGCATTCCAGAATATACACGGACTTCTCAGTTAAGCGATCAATTAACTCTCCAAACCTTCCAATGCATTGTAAGTCGTTAACGTACTCCAAAAAAACCTTATGTATACCTTTCGCATCAATTCGAGTATCCCGTAACAAGCAACTGAGCATGGAAGGAAGCAAAATTTTACATTGATGATTCCAATAGATGGTAACAATTGAAAGTGAAATATCAATACAATATCTCGGAATCTCCATAAATTCTTAAACTGCTGGAGGATAATCCTATTTTACATCCTGCTTTTTAAATTTAATTTATCGTAGATTGTATTAAAATGTCTATTTATCTTATTATATGTGATGTACATTTTCTTTTCCGTGTTAGTATCGAAAAAAAAGTTTTTATAATAGAAAATCATCTAAATTTTGGCATAAAATTGACTATTTTTTATAAATAATTATTTGAGAATGCTTTTCATTTAAGATTGTTTAGAAAACGGAAAGGACTTGCGTTAAGTAGAACTCCTTTAAGTGTTAATTCATCTGTACCAAAATATATTAGATTTTTACTTTTATCACATTGCCATGGATTATATTTATTGTCAATATTTAAAAATCAGCCACCTAAACAATTAATAGACGACTCTGATATGTTTGAATATTTATTTTTATTGCACTATGATAGTGTCAGCTACGTAGACTGAGTAATTGCAACATAATCAAATGAATTCATTTTGCAATCTTAAGTAAATTCCTATAACTGATGTAAATAGGCCTGATTATTTTCACTACTTCAATCATTGTGTGACAAATTGTCAACACAATGCATAGTTACGCTAACGCTTTTCATTACATTAATTTGCCCTGGTCATTCACTTGTTATAGAATAATTGCAAATTACATTCATCTGACTTGTAATTATGGTCTCGATGTCTTTATGGAAACTAACAGCCTATTCTAATCGTTAAATACCCTCCAAATTGTAGACATTGATTAGCAAACTACACAAAAATAGCTGCAAAGTCCAAAGTCAATTAAAAGTCATAAATCAATTTTATTTCTCTCTTTCGTCAGAAACTTACAACGAACGGAACCGGAACCTTTCATTCAAGACTCCTCACTATTATTTTTACTGCCGTACTAATGATATACAATATCGTATTTCCTAAAATAAATATTTGCATAAAAAGTTAATGGTTATGCCTCGTTAAAAGCACTAAAAACATATTTTCCTTTTGACACATTTTATTATACGCACATTAAAAGCAAATCATTTTAACATTGAGCGAACAGTAGCGGAAATTCATACTTCTGAAAAATCTTGGTTTCTTTTTCATTCATAATTTATACCATGCTGGTTCTTCTTCTAACAAGTAACATGATTAGACAATTTTAACAGGACTTTAAGATCCAACTAAAGATTCATACGGTAAAGAAATTACGGTAAAAACTAACTTCCGGAACGGAATATCAGCAAAGCCAAGTTCCGTATTCTCTAAAATAACTAACGGTTTCACCGGCAGATCCTTCTCATTTTTACTACGATCAGTGAATGCTGCGTCGCTGTGGCAATCCAAACCCGTCGGCGAGCAGGCCGGGCTAAGAATTCCGTCGCAGTGACATTGCGGTTCTCTCCGCCGCAGAGGAAAGGCGATCCTGAGCAAGCGATGAGGCTGCGGAAGTGGATGTGGGTGCTTTGACCCTGGAGGAGAATTGCTGGGGGGGGGAGGGGGCTGGTCAGTCGTAGGAGGGGTGGGGTGGATTAGTGGCGGGCAAGGGCGGAATGGACAGCGGAGGGAAGCGTGTCGGGTCGTGGATTCTGGGTATTGCTGTCGGGTCTGGGTAGCATCGGTCGGTGTAGCGCTCGTCGGGTCCCGGGTAGCGTCCGGTCTGCGGGTAGCGTTCGGTCGGTGAAGCGTCGGGTCGGTGTAGCGTCGGAGTCGTAGCGGTTCGGGTACGTTGGTTAGCTGTCGGTCGGAGTAGCGTCGGGTTCTGGGTAGCGTTCGGTACGGGACGGGACGGGGCGGGAGGGTGTGCCGGACTGTGGACGGGACGTGAACCTGAGCGGGATCTCCTGGGACGGAACGGAACCGGGACGGGACGGGATCCGGGAACGGGATGGGACTCGGACGGGACGGTGACCGGTACTGGGACGGGACGTGGAACTTGGACGGGGTACGTGGACGGGACGGTTGGGGACGCGGACGGGATGCCGGCACCCGGACGGGGCGGGACTTGGGTACGGTGACGTGGCCCACGGGACGGGACGGGACGGGGCGGTGAAAGGTGGGAGGGATAAGCCGGTGCATGGTGGACGGGGCGAGGCGTGGAGAGGCGCGGCGGAACGGAACGAGGAGGTGCTAGGCGAGGCGGTGCAGGAAGGGCGGGGTGAGGAGGGGTCAAGAGGAGTACTGGAGTGCTAGGCAAGCAGACGAGCGCAGAAGCTAATGCGAGGATGATTGTGCTGTATTTCTGCTTCAATGCTTGGGAACTGTATAGATAAAGGAACTGTCTTTGGATAATATGGCGTATATCGAATACAAATAACTAGGTTTTAATTACGAAAATTTGAAGAAAATTTACTCCATGTGTAATACACTTAATGAAATCTACAACACTTAAAGTACGTAATGCTGTATAGAATATTAATTACCTCTAATATTGTAATCTGAACCCCACGAAGACTAATATTTCGGTGTTAGATCCTTGAATAATTCCGGAAACTGGATTCCGTATCATCTAAGTCGTGATTGTATTGTGCATTTTGTGATTGTATTGAGTATTAGACTTAAGTGAATATTAAGAGTATATATACAATATAAGATTTTAGATCAGTGTTGTCAAGGTAGTTGACTTAGTGGAATGGCTACCCCAATGAAATTTCCATTCCACGCCATTTTTTATCGCCTCCAAGCAATAGTTAAAGTAACTATCGAACTTTCCCGTGAGATACAGTAGGCGGAGTTCATACAAATTAAATTAATGAACGTTCGTAGTGTTTATTAAATTTTTTATTTATTTATACATAAACTACACATACTCTTTGGCACACACGCTAGTTCAAGTTCCGGCAGCACCACCCTTACAGAACGCGCGTTCGGCTAAGAATATTTTGACAGTTTTTGATTGTCGCCAAGTCCCGACACCAGTTGCGTGTCGTGGCATGTCATAATGGCACGAGGTGTTCTACTGCCACTAGTGGACAATCTTGACATCAGTATTTGAAAGTTGAATATTAGGTGCCTCGTAGTAATGATGACTGTAAATTTAGGCGCAGGACGATGGCTGCCGGAGACGCAGGCGCTGCCCACTGGGCAGACAGGCCCACTGGGCAGACAGGGGCAGCCAGACGGACAGGACGCAATGGCCGCCAAAGCCGTCGCTTCTGCCAGCAACGTTTTTGGAATGGACCTCTATGAGGTAAGTTGCAGCTTCCATCTACGAATCACAAAGGGGCGAGGTACGATAGGCACCCAGTTGGTCAGATCCATGGTGGAAAGGAATGGGTGGGCTGCTCCGGCGCACCAACAGTTTCCGTCATGAACCACGTGGCCACAGCACGGGCACTTTGTTTGAACAGCCAGACCAGAGGCTGGCCGCCATGTTGCAAGGTGTGCGCGTAGTGTCGAAAAACATTGTGGGAATAAATGAGAATTTTCATAAAGTGGGAATTTTCATAAAGTGGGAATTTTCATAAAGTGGGAATTTTCATAAAGTGGGAGTTTTCATAAAGTGGGAGTTTTCATAAAGTGGGAGTTTTCATAAAGTGACAATTTTCATAAAGTGACAATTTTCATAAAGTGACAATTTTCATAAAGTGACAATTTTCAACCAAAAATAACACAATGAACAATACGCAATATTCAAAAGCGATGCTTCATGTATATCTTTCAATCACTTGTGCCAAGTAATAATTTTGATATTTGGCTGCATATAACTCCCGCTAAATTTTGACACAAACTGATTCCTGAATCACACTGGCTGAAGTTGGATACGATAGCTCACCCATGTCTTTCCATAATAATCGGGCCGCAAACTTCCAACCAGAACGTAAATCTAAATTTTCATAGTCCGCGATTTTGTTTTATTGAAACGCGTTGCCTCAGACAGTTTCACGTAAAGTACAGTTTGGTTTCAGTTACCAAAATATATCAATTCATGTTTTTGATTTCGCTTCATCAGAACGTTGTTTAACTACGGAGGTTATGACATCCCAACCGCTATGTTGACAGTTGATGAAATGAAGGGCTTGTGGCAGTAACGAGATATGTCACACCAGTTACAGCAAGCCTCATACTGTTTATAAAATTGTTGACATCTCAATTTTTGTGGAAGTGTAGATTATCTTGTTCCTAAGTAAGTCCTGTTCGTGAAAGACTTGGGGCAGGCACAAAATTATCTTCTTGGGCTTAAATGTAAGTACCAATGCGCCCTTGTTCATACGAATTAAGGGCAAATTAATTGGGAGCATCAAAAATACCCACTAATATAACCTACTCACGTGGAAGGAAAAAGCCTTCGCGGTGATAATTTCTCGTCAGGGTGAAAAAGGTAGTGTGATATAGTGAGCTTTCGGAAATAATGTCGGGATGGATTTATTACTGTTACAATAATTGTGGATTGGGTTTATTACTGTTACAAATCTACTGAATCCAATGGACCCGCAACAGCGTATGCACACATGAAGTGCCCGCAATCGTTTGTACCGACAACAACTCAAGCAGCTGCAGCTGTACTCTCCAAACGTCGCTGTCTGTTGGCATCTCTTGAGATGATTTAAATAATAACACTAAGTTCAAACACAAAGCAAAATATATTGTTCGTAAAATCCAACAACCAGTATCCAAATGTTACCATGTCCTCTTCCGCGGATATATTGTTCTTTATTTTAGAACCACTGATCAACTTGCTGAATTACCTCCCCAAGGTTTCGCCAAACTTTCAAAATCATAAAGCCGCTACTAAGTGGGTTCTAAATAATAATTTCACGTTAATATATAACCGGTCTACATTCCAGCGTCCATACTTTCGCGAATTCAACCCTGTCCCACTCAACCACTTTCCGCCCATATTAAACGACGCTCAATCCCTCAGTTGTTCTTTGCCACGAGTTCATACAACTCGCACAAAATTTATATTTTCATATCGTAACAATTACGTAGAATATCTCATAATTTGTGCATATCAATGTTTCATTCAGTAAACATTACTCCAATTGAAGTAACAAACGGATAGTAATGGCAATACTAGGTGTCGCGGGTTGACTTAGTGAAGTGCAAGGAAAGTTGGTCAACAGTTCAGCAAAATTCCCTTTCCTTTCTTCAATACTGCCTCAAACTGATCCAGTCTGATTGAAATTCATACTGCAGTGCGATTAATTAAGTCGAAAAACCAATTCTCTTAATAACCAGAATACTCGGCGGTACATTTCATTACGACGTTGTTTAACCTACTTTAAAGATTGTTTAAGTTTACAATTTAATCGTTTTTCTAGTAATTTGCAGAATAGTAATTGAGTAAGCAGGACATATATTGTACAAAGACATTATTATTATTATTATTATTATTATTATTATTATTATTATTATTATTATTATTATTATTATTATTATTATTTATATTATTATTATTATTTATATTATTATTATTATTATTATTATTATTATTATTATTATTATTATTACAAAGTGAAACACTATCACTTCAAAGGAAAACAATCAAGACTGCAAACTGACTGACTGACTGACTGACTGACTGCAGACTGTAAACGATAACATAAGTGAGGCCTGTTTTTGCAGGAAATATGTCAAATTGACATCCTGAATTTCGTCAACAAAAACTCAAAATGTTTAACATCTAAAATCTGGCTATTCTCATTTCTGCTTCAATTTATCATGTATGTGGGTACTGCGTATCATATCCGGCAATGCTAAGTAGTTTCATTGAGTCAACCATGTGAAAACGTCTAGAGGATTCTAATGCTTTTGTCAAACGCTTTCGTCGTCGACAATTCTATGCGTCATGCTAATTAACAGATCCTCGCGGAAAACCCAAACTCGCATTACTCAAAAGACTGTGGAATTTATTTGCACGCTGAGGCGTCAAAAGACCAGTCACAATGACTTATTTGATTAATTTTAAAAGTAGATAAATCTAGTTTATCTCAGTTTGCAGAGGTCTTTCTCAATGAGTAGTTTCTCCTCTCAATTTAATCCTTCTCAGCTTTTAAACTTCATCATTCCATACTGATGTTGTTTGTTTTGTGCTCCTCAAACTCGCTTAAAGGCTAGGTTTTGCTACTTAAAGGCAACTGATATATTATACATTATATTATTGTTAAAGCAGGTTACACCAGGGACGTTCTTACTATCTGCTTCATTATTTACTCAGTTGTAGCATTATTATTATTATTATTATTATTATTATTATTATTATTATTATTATTATTATTATTGCTATTAATGCTCAGGCTTCTCACTAACAGAAGTCATATTTGAAAAGTACCTTTAGATATTTGCAGTCAATAGTTTTAAAATTATAGTAGAAGAAGAAAAATGTTATTGAGTATACTTGCCAACTTTTATATACTAAACGAAACCATGTACTGAAAAACTTTTTGGGACTTGCGCAATTGGAACGAATATAAAACAAAGTCTTCTAGTAAGTTCGATTATTTCGTGCTGCGTCATTAACACTATACTGATTGGTGCATTAACAACGGTTTGCTGAAACAAACTTAAGGAGCAGCATTGTAAATGTGCACGTGCTTGTAAAATAAATTTCCTCGGTACGTATTCGCGTCGTTTAATTGGCAAGAATTCCATTGAAATAACGGTTAAGAACTGGCGACTTACAAAGCGAGTCCAATTTCCATTGCACGAACGTCGTGAGGTAAGGCTATTGTTGGAGGACCTCGGCCGAAGTGTAGCGGGGACTCTTTTTCATTGAGCTACATGTAATAGATCAAATTAATTGTTTCAGTCGTAATGTGTATTCAATACTTTTTACATTTTTTGCTTGTACTTTTAATTATTATTTTATATTTTTACAAATTAATAATGTACTTCCTTTACTTTTACCATTATTATTGAATTCTTCGGGGAAACATATGAAACATATAATATTTTTTTTTATAGTTTTGCTGTTGTTAGAACAAACACTGGTATCATTCTCAGCGTATCCACTGGCATATAGCAGTTTCATACAGTTTTAGAACAATATTCAAACAGTGTTGCGTCGCTAGTCATGAACACTCCCTGACCAAGACTTCAGCGGTCTTGGCTAAATCAACATCTATAGCTTTCGCGAACTCCGTAACTTGCTTATACTTGCATGTTTCGTTTAGTATGAGAGTATCTATTGTAGACGTAAATTTATTCAAAGTTGAGTCACGTGAGTGGGATGCGGCGGCGAAGGACGCCCTACGCTCGGCACTTGTCTTCGACGTCATAGGGGGAGCCCCCCCCCCGCTAAATCGCAGCCCGGGACGCCTACAGGCCGCCGGGCATTCTGCGCACGTGCTGTTCAATGAGAAAAGTCCCCGCAGGCTGACGCAAAGCCTCGGACGCGCTCTGACTTCGGCAGCCACTGCAAGAACTAGTGGTGCTCCAACACCACATACTTTCTCGCATGGTTTCTACCTAATGCAATTTTCGAAAATTTCTGAGAAATTCAATGAAAATTAGACATGCGCCAGTTTTAAGCGTCCTTTGCCTCATAAATAAAAAAATAATTCGAACTGTTTTTGAGACACTGTTTTTTTTATAAATTGCATAACGTCAAGTAGAAATTACGTGAAAACTCATCGTTCGTGTGTTCAAGTGTATATATTCTGATTTTTAAAGAAACAGATTTTATTTAACAAAATTTCATTAAACAATATGTCAATCTGCAACATTAAATTTTACCATGAATTTTGTAATTTTTTGTAATACAGAGAGTTCGCCGAAAATGTGACAAGTACCAATTTTTTTGCTGGCCTTTGATTCATATGAGCAGAAAATGTATGGGAGCCGTTTTTGAAAAAAAAAAATTAAAACATCTTGCTTTGCCTATGTTTCACGCAAACTTGCGAGAACATTACTAATTCTTTTGAAAAATTGTGCACGATATTTTAAGATTAGTCTTTGAACAATAGATACTAGCTTTAAGAAAAAACCCTCTTCCTGTAACATTGTAGTTGTTTGAAGACGCCTAAAAAAGTTTAATTTTTTCAATTAAAAAAATTGTTTTCAACGAAAATGAGTTCTGCACCATTTTTATAAGCGTCTATAACGCTGAGGACAAAATTATTCAAAAAATCTGGAGACCTTTTTTGAGAAAATTTAGAAAATATTTAAGTTTTATAAAATGTGGACTAAATCAGTTTCAAACTGGCAGGACATTGGGGTCGTTCAGCTCGGTCGCAGAGTATCAAATTTGGAGAAAATTGTCGGAACCGTTTAGGTACTAGCGCTCACCTCAGACAGGAACGCGGGCCCAGGACGGATTTGCAGCAGAACTGCGTGCTGTCCTATCTTTTTTAGGAACTGAAATTCTGTTAAACTTTTTAGCTTTTGCTGAGAAGGCCTTCCACCTATCTCAAGAGTAAATATTTTTTTAGCACTTAATTTCCAAAGATGTTTCAATTCATGTGATAGAATTTCATATTTTAATTTTTTTCTCTTTCTTTCTGTTTGATATTGTGAAAAATGTTAATGATGTGTCTAATATTACATCTTTCTCCGTTTTTCTCTAATGAGAATATCTTGGTGTATTGCCATTGATCGTACGTTGAGTTAGGGCTGGCACGTTCCAGTACTAAAGGTTTGAACTTTATTCCAGGACTATGAAGCGTAGTCCCTTCCGCAGTCGAATATGTAGCCTACGACACTCTACTTCCCGCTGTGTGTTTGCAACAGTCATACAAAGAGAATGGAGTTCCTTTCATTATTAGCATTTCAAATAACAACTAGAAACTGTCACACCATAAGGATACTTGTACGCAGATTAATGGCTAGCAAAATTTGAAAGGGGCTACGCTCACCTCTCAATCTATACTTCATTAATTCCATTAATTTTAAATTATTTGAATAATAAACAGGAAATACATCAGTGTTCTGATTTCTTACTATTCCCTAAATACACATTGATCGGCAATTTCCGTATTTAGGTTAACATATTTTGTATTTGTATTTCCTCCTAACTTTTAAGAAAAATGTGATTGTGTTATTATTTACTTCAGTTAACTTACAACCAACTTACTTCCAAATTAGTTGATAAATATCAATGAACAACAGAAACTCATTAATTTCTTTCTCTTATCCAATTTGTCAGGCTGTGATTTGTGGTGAAATGAAATTACAAGAACCAACCCGATTGAATAATTTTTCTCTTAACTTAACAAGTGGAAATCAATAATGTGTTTCATGGCTACACCGTACGCCAAGAGTACGCTGCAGTACATATTTCAACGTTACAACTGCGAGTCTCGTAAATGGAGAGTAAAGCCATGAACTTGCTCTTGGCCTTTCTAGCCGTAAAGATATTCGCAGGGAAAAGGAGAAAGGATCAGGCGGGTGGGTCAGTTACGCAAATTCAGGGCAGTGGGTTGAAAGAGAAACGGGCAGTAAAAGTGTCTCCGGAGGAAGATCCAGCCGCAGTTAATTAACCTTGCCCCCGCAGAACTCAACTGGGAGAAAGTGAATGAGCCGACTTGTCATAAACGAGACCGGTTAACGAGCACAAAAAATTGTAAACCGTTTTGTTTTTCTGGCTCCCACTCTCTCCCCGCGAACACGACAAACGAGTGATGAAGCGCAGGCTGCAAACCGACCATGCGTAGCGGCGCACGAGTCGTTAGAACGGAGCAATTTCTTTTCAGCGCAGCAGCAGTTTTCAAAGATAATTTCGAAACAAGCAGTTGGAGTATTTAACTTTTAACAGCATAGTGGTGAACACGCCCTAAGTGTCAAAATTAGGTGGAAAACAAACAGCGGTAAAATAAGTTTACAATCCTGTGGAAAGATTACTATGCTCTCAGCATACAAAGAACCTTATGATATTCTGATAATATCATTAGAATTTCAAAAAGAACCTTAACTTCTGGGTGTTTAATAAAGATGATGTAAGTGATAAAACAGAATGACCTGTAATTAAATTGTTATTGTTTGTTATTGAGAAAGACATTCATTTCTCTTAAGAAGCGCTCGATGGAAAGTCAATGATGAACTGTTAACTCTGTCGATTGAGGCGTTACACCACATGTAATGTCGGAAAAGCCATTGATAATCGATCAAATGTACCAGGAGAATTTAATAATTTCTCTAACGCTGATGAATAAGGTAAACATTTGGGATAAGTAAATTCTTCACAAATAATGCTCATTAATTACTTTAATATATAGTAAACAACGTTTTGAATTGTTGTTTCTCTGAAGTAAGAACTTGCAAGAATCTGTGGAAATTCTTAACCAACGTTCAAAAATATTTATATCCTTGTCAGCAGTTAACGGTTGGAAAACCCAGGAAAGTTGTAAGTGGGAAAAAGTTTGCATGAATCAAAACGGGTAATTTCTCCCATAAAACACTTCCTTCTCATGATCGTGACACGAATGGGAAAAAGTTACTTCTGAGAATACTTTTAGCAGTTGCGAGAATCAAAAGTATATTGCTAATGCTGTGTACCCACCTCTGTGAAAGACAATCCACTTTATATCAAATTATATTTTTGAGTTACAAATGAGTTGAAATTATTATTATTACTATTATTATTACTATTATTATTATTATTATTATTATTATTATTATTATTATTATTTCGTTAGCCGTTTTCACCAATATTTAACTGGATAAGATATTTTTACTAAGTATCTCTTTGATTTGACGAATTTAAAACAAAAGAAAAGCTGGTTCAATGCCGCTCTGTGAGGCTTTTGTGACATGTGTGGAGAAATCCTAAAAATATTTAATATTATTGTCGTTTTAATAATTGTTCTCTAAATACGATAGGGCGGTCTATTGGCTTTTGCATTAGTTTTCGGTCGAGTTACGCATAGACTCGAAGGAACATGAGCAATTACGTGATACTAATTAATTCTTTCTCTGACAATCCATCCGTTCATCTTAATTCTGAGTTCGCGATTTCCGAGATGAAAGGTTAATTTTAGTAATACATGGTTAACGGTTGATGGTCATAGAAGCGTGAAATGAAGGAAAAATTTCTTTGTTAAAAAGATGATTTCAGTTATATGTTGCAAACTCTTATATATGAAATGTTCTGTTTCAAATCTAAATATGTTAAAATGAAACAAAATATATAATAAGTACGTGGTACCAGGTAAAATTATGAAATATGACATTATACAAAAATATGCAAAATAAAAATAGTATTCATTCGGGATGTTTTGAAACTCAAACAAAATATTACTGAATGCCGGTATATTTTTCTTACAAAATAGTTATTTATGCATGATGAACGTTAAAAGTATTCTAATGGTCGAGAGGAGAAAACAGCCCGAGGGATTTTGGTCCAAGGGCTTTTTGTCGCCCGAGATCGTTAGAACCAGTTAACGCCCGTGGTACATACAAGGTTTATTTTACACCCAATTGTTATGATTCAGATCTACTTAGCTACTAATTAATTAAATGTTTACTTGACACGGTCTATTTCATATTTCCCTCCCATAATTTCCTCCATAGGAGAACATGTATCATTCAACTGTTTTCATATTTCCCTCGTAACCACGGTCCTCTCTATCCAGGTAAGTTACGTTGTGTATATCAAGCTCCGTATTGGAGGCAATAACACGCAATAGCGTATCAGTAAAAAATAAACGTATTTTTGAACATTGCCTATTTAATCATAAAATTCAAATAGCTCGTTCCTGAAACTCATCTCCAACCTCATGAAATTTCTTTCTCTAGCGTTATTTGTAGCATGTGCTTTCCCCCCAGTGCGCATTAACACGTGTGTGTGTGTGTGTGTGTGTGTGGGCAGGCGGTGCGCGGCGGCGTGGGCGTGGGCGGGGCGAGCAACGTGGTGGTGTCGCCGCTGAGCGCGAGCGCGGCGCTGGCCCTGGCGCTGCAGGGCGCGCGCAACCGGACGGCGCAGCAGCTGGCGCGCGCGCTCCACGTGGCCGACGACGCCCCAGACGCCGCGCGGGGCTTCCGCGCGCTCCTCGCGCGCACCAAGGTACGCCACCGCACGCGCGGCGCCTTCACGGCAGTGCTACTGCTACTTCTTCTTGCTCTTCTTGATCTTCTCCTTCTCCTTGTTCTTCCTCCTCCTTCTGGTTCCTCTCCTCCTTCGCCTGGTTCTTCTCCTCCTCCTTCTTGTTGCTCTTCTTCTTCTTCTTCTTCTTCTTCTCCCTCTCCTTCTGCTTCTCCTCCTCCTCTTTCTCTTTCTTCTCCTCCTCTTTCTCTTTCTCCTCCTCCTCCTCTTTGTTTCTCCTCCTCCTCCTCCTCTTTCTGTTCCTTCTTCTCCTCCTCCTCCTTCATCTCCTTCTCCTCCTCCTCCTCCATTTCCTCCTTCTCCTCCTTCTCCTCCTTCTCCTCCTCCTTCTTCTTGTTCTTGTTCTTGTTGTTGTTGTTCTTCTTCTTCTTCCTTCGAGTCCACGGCAGGTAATTCCGTTTTGCAGGTAAGTAGAGAGAGCCAAGTATCTCTGGTTTACTAAGGCCAGGTCATTTTTGGATGCACCATTAGGGCAGTCCGGTTAGAAAAGTAGATATTTAATTGGATCTCCGGATGACGTTACGCGGATGAATGCGGCATTACGCCCTGAGGAAGGCCGCAGAATGGCGACCGAATCGTCGGCACCTTTGCCATGGACGCGGCGTCACCCGGACAGCCAATTAAATACTGACTCCGGCCGCGGAAGCCTACGTTCTCACAGCAAAGTAGATGTTCCATCGTCTCTTGAGCACCGCAGGAGCACATCTCTGAGCCATTCTGGGCCGAGAATCCCCATTTTTGCAAGTTGTATTTACATCTACCAACACCCGTACGCAGTCTGTTTAGGGACCTCCATATGGTCCACGGTTGTTCGGAACCAGGGACTCGGGGGTTTTATGAAGTGGCCTGATAGGTGGCATTCGTCCATCCACAGGTCAAGCTTTTCCTGATTGACTGGTCTCTGGAGAGAGGCACTGGTCAGAAGGAAACTTTCAGGGCAGTAAACGATTTCGTTGACAGCTTCTATTAAGAGTACATATGAGCGTCGCCGAAGACCGCATCACCCTTCTATAAATATTATTCAGCCGGTCAGCTGAGTAGCATTAACAGCTGTCCTCGGCTGACTTGAGTTTTCTAGTTAAATGTAATTTAATCGCGTGGAGGTTAGAAACAGTTTTCACGAGAAATTAATTTAATTCTGCTATCATTAATGATGAAAAATTGTACTAAGTGGACGAAACATTCTGACATTCATACGAAACATTCTGAAATGCTGTGGAGAACATGTGTGAAAGAGTTAATTAAGCCATCGGATAGGAGAATGGCATGGAATATACTGCAAAACTCCCACGTAGGCCTTGTAGGCTATACACAACTTCAAATTGCTGATGCGACATCCATGTTCCTAAATATGAAGGCTAACAATTAAAACAACAATGTTAATAAGACTTCGACCAAACACTATCGATGTTATTAAACGTAGATGTATTTAAAACTGGATTAGTAACCATTGAAGTTCACGCGAGAGAGGGCTTTAACTTGAAATTGGTATCATTTAATAATTTTTCATTGAGTTTCAACTGACTAAACGAAGTACAAAGTCATTATTGGAACTACCGAAACTTGATCTGAAACGATAATTCTGATGTAATGTAAATTTTTTATTAATAAAAAATCTAGTTTATTTATTTTTCACCCTTGGTCACTTATTTAAAGGGTATTCAATTTATAGATATCTGAAAATTATTGTAGGATATTGTTATTATGGACTCCTTCATTTAAAAAAAATTCGACCAAATTAAAATAGCGAATAAACTATGGCGATTAAAAAGAGACATCGGTTCAAAAAATCTATGTTAAATACATCGATGTTTTTATAAAATCACTGATGTTTGAGAACATCTACATCATCTCCACCGAGCGTTCGTCAGGAGAACAAGGAAGCTGCGCGCGACATTCTCGCGAGAGGTCGCTGCCCTCCGAGCTCCAGAGGTCACCGACCCCGCGCGGCTACTCGCTGTGCCGTACGCAAGGCAAACACGACGTGGCCATAGTATCGCGCTCGGGAATTCCAGCCTGCCTTCACTGCGCTGCGTTTTTTTTGTTTTTTTGTTAAGGTCGCATCAACTACTAGGTCATTAGCGACCACTATTGCGTGTAACGGTATGCTAACTATGAGGATGACACGATATGATAATGATGATGATAGGAGGGGAAAGGACGAACACAACCATGCCCGAGGCGGGACTCGAACCCGCGATCCTTCGGTCCCATCCGGACCGGCTCTGCGCTGTGTTGGAATGTGAAATTATGATAATAAAAACGCAGCCTTAACGTGTTAAACACGGTCTTAACGTGTTCAGCGGTAATTACACAATTGTTAGTCGGCAAGAGGTACCGAGAGAGTGAGATAGTGCTAACACGTTGGCACTTGATGGCTCTCATGTGGAATGTGGAACACTAAAGATTCATGAATGCGAGTCTTGGCGATTGAAATGGAGTCATTAATTTCCTACTCTGGATCTCCTATCGGCCATTACTTTCTCTCCGTTTTTGCTCTCAATTTGGAATAAACAAGGAAATAAACCTTACGTGAACTGCAGTAAAGCAAAATCTAGATTCCGTCTAGAATACGAAACATGTGAGAGAAAATAAGCATTAAAAATTAATAGCAAAGAAGTGACTTATTTATATGAGTCAATAGAATAAGGTTTGTTTTATTGCGTTGCAAACGGAATCGTTAACATAAATGTTGACTTAAGTGGTGTTGTTGGTCATTATTTTGAATTTATTTAATTACTTCTGAAGTTTCGGTTTAATTTAATCCTGATTCAACATTTATCTTTAACTTGATGTACAGGCCTCATGTGTTGTTCGCTTTACTATTATTTTTCTTCAACATTCAATTATCGAAATACAGATAATCATCAATAATGCAATAACAGGGAGTAGATATATTAGTAAAATGGCGGAGAATCGAAACGTAAATTATGATCGTTCCTCCTACGAGAATTCGGAAGTCATCGATGACTTCCAAATGCTGTAACAAGGCCACAAAGGAGTGGTGTTCCGAGCTTGCACTGTGTGTTGCAGGAGAGCGAGCAAGTGCGCCTGCGCATGGCTAACAAGGTGTTCGCGGCGCGAACCTTCAGCGTAAGGGACGACTTCCGGCGCACGGCGCAGGAGGACTTCCGGGCGGACGCCGAGGCGGTGGACTTCCTGCAGGACAACGAGGGCGCGCGCCTGGCCGTCAACGCGTGGGTGGGCAACGCCACCGGCGGACTCATCCCGGAGCTCTATGCCAAAGGTAACGCCCCACGGAATCCCCCGCCCTCGACAATTCCTGCAGCCTCCGCCCTCAGCCCCTCCGCCCTCAGCCCCTCCGCCCTCAGCCCCTCCGCCCTCAGCCCCTCCGCCCTCAGCCCCTCAGCCCCTCCGCCCTCAGCCCCTCCGCCCGACTGCCACTCCTCCGGCCCCATCTGCTGGGGGAGCCGGACGGCCGCAAGGCCTGAGGATCTTGGTGGTGGCGGAAGCGTCCACCCGGACATGAGTTTCCCGGCAGTACTCACGTACTTAGTGTCAAGGCGGGCGCAGTGAGAAGGTGGTGTTAAGCTCCGTGTTACCACAACCTTGCGTGGGACCACAACCTCTTGTGTTGCGGTGCCATGTAGAGTACCTCTGGTGAGGAATTTGAATATACTGTCCGGGTGCCCAGATTTCCTGTCGCCTCACTGATGGTGGACAAAAGTAGGTCGCAGTGAGGATCTGGGATGGGACCACAGTGCTCCCCAGGATGTATCAAACGGGTGGCCTTCAGAGGGCTCTTTGCTTCGTGGTGGTAGTTGTTAAAACCAGAGGATGCTGAGGAAGGACTTGTCTTGAGGGAGGGTGAGCAGGGTAAACAGCTCTGGTACGAACCTGGAAAGTTCGTAGTCTCGAGCTGATGAGACGGCCTTACCCAGACTATTGGTAGTTTACATCTTGAGACCGTTGCGTGTCAGCTTCACGTTCCGGAGTATGGGCGCAATGGTGAGATGGGAGTGAGAAGAGCCATGGCTCAGGCATCCATTCTGGGGAATAAAAACCTCCTGGTACTGTACCCATGTGTGGACTAATAGGCAAGATGGTCTCACCATCATCATCATCATCATCATCATCATCTTCTTCGCCCTCCTCCCTGCACCCGTCTATCCGCACTCCTCTCTCTGCCCCATTTACCTTCCGACCACCGTCCCCTGCATGCGCCCTCAACCGACCTTCTATCCTTCGCACCTCGGCGTTCTACATCAAATTCTTAGTGAAATGGATTCTCCCTCATCCGCCCCATGCCCACTCTCACTTCGTCACCCTTCCCCCACTTGGTAATCGACAGCTGCGGTTCTCTTGCTATGTCTTTCACCCTCCTCCCTTACGAAGTCCTCCGTCCTTCACCCTTCTCCCGCTGCCCATCGACAGCTACCATTCCTCCTCATGTTCTCCGGTGTTCATCTCGTCTCTCCGCCTTTCACCCTTGTGGCCTTTTTTCGTCGTCGAAGGTTTGTGTAATTGCAGTTGTGTTGCAGTTCGCACGCATTTCGCGTTTTACTCCTAAGTGTAAGTGGCTGGTGTGGGTTCGCGTCGGACCTTAGTCAATAGGCAAATCGGCTTTTTTGTTGTACTAAGCCCTCAGAATATTAGATTCTTTGTCCTATAGTGAGGTCGTGTCGAGCTAACTGTTTTAGCGTTGCCGGAGCTTCGTTAGTTTGAAAATATTGAAAGGCTTCGTTAAGGGTTCGTTCACTCTCGTGGCTATCGCCAAACGGCCTACTTTACACCTTCACCATACTCTTCCCTCCTGCTGCTACCCCCATCCTCTGACATTCTACCGTCGACCAATATTCTCCACCCGAAGTCGCCAACATTGCATCTACATAACCACACTGAACGTAAGGTAGCAGTACGCACAGAATATTTGATAAAACGAATCTCCAAAACTCCCGGATGTACTGTGTAGTATCTACCTCGGAATTATGAGGAGTGTAGGTCAGACCTGAGTGAACAAACTCCACGACAAACGGAATGAAGAAACAGACGTCAGTAGACAAAGGGGCCCAATCATTATATTCTAGAATGAGTTTTCATAGTTTTGAGAAGTCTAATCTTAAAAAAATTGTTCTCGAGTCGCTGGCAGAAAGTATATTTTTTTAAATAATGCTAATACGCATTACTCCGATATTTAGCACGAAAAAAACCATTTCGGTTTATTTCTGTAAGATCAAAGATTGCAAATAAAAACGTGAAATACTCTGACAAATAGGGGGATAGTGAATTGCACGTGACAAAATACCAAGAAATAGATTCTCATTACAATATAAGAAAGGAATGTAGTTTTTTTCATTCCAACTTAGCCAGTCATGTCACCATAGCCAATCATGTTTCGCAAGAAAATCCTTATTAAAAGGGCTGTTTAGGAGAAAACTGCCAAAGTTTGGAAATAACAGAACACAATAAATTACATGTGTTTGTAGTCTTCATGAAGTCATTCTTAAAAATTCAAATTGACCTTGTTCATTGTTAGTTTTTCCATGTGAAGTATTTTCAGACAGAAACGTAAGAGTTTATGCTCCGAATCTCCTCGTCTATTACCTCCGCACGTGATTTATCAGTAGTTTAAAAAAATAAACACTCTCTGCCAGTGAACATTCCTGATTGTTCAAATGTTTCCTCAACGTGATATGCGACTCTCAGACAATGTAAAAGGATAATCCAGAGTTATCTGAAAAAATCTGTTTAGAAATTAATCTAGGTATGTTTGTAACACTTTCGTAAATACAGTCTTTCGAACAGCCAGCTTGTAGAGATACAAAGCATGACTTTGGCTGTTAAATAAAATCCTTTGCTCAGGGAAACAAAAATTAATTTCTCACTCATTTATTTCTGAGGGGTATCGTATTTCGTGTACACCGACTTGTTGCGATTAACTGCACTGTACCACACATTACATGATCCATTCTATTTACAGACGTTGAATGGAAATTATAATATATTACAATTTGTATTTCGCCGACCTGGATGGCCGAGGTGGCTAAGAGCATGTACCGACTCAGGGCCTGGGTTCGAAGGGTCGCGGATTCGAGTCCCGCCTTGGGCATGGTTGTTCGTCCTTTGTCTCACACGTATGTGTTATCACGGAGGGGCCTCACGTTCTGCACATCCTAGATATGAGGAGCCCGCAAGTGTATTCGTGTATGGTAAAATATGCGTCCCTTCGAGACGCACAGGGTCGCTGTCAGCCGGATAAAAATCCTAGGAAAAAAGAGATATTAAATTTCGCTTAAAAGTGATCGAGAGAACCTAATTGGTCCCAATTACAAAAATATTAGCATCAATGTCACTAAAGAGTCGTTTTCAGTATTTCACTATCAATTCCCCCTATTATCTCTCCCGTTCCTTCAAGACATCATGACTTCCCCCCCTCCCCACCCCAGAAACAACGAAACGCTAGACGGGACGTCCTTGTTTGTGCGCAGGCACCTTGGAGCCGTCGACGCTGATGCTGCTGGTGAACGCCATCTTCTTCAAGGGCAACTGGGCGACGCCCTTCAAGGAGGAGAACACCAAGGAACGGCCCTTCCACGTGACGCCGTCGCAGCAGGTGCTGGTGCCCACGATGCGCGACATAGTCAACGCCGATACAGCCGACCTTCCGCAGCTCAACGCCTCCGTTCTGCAGCTCTTCTACAACGTGAGTCTCCCCCGCCCACACTCAGCACTGTCTTTTCCTTGCTTAAGGTCGCTTTTCAACTACTACGGTCATATAGCGATCACGTTAAGAAACATTGGGGGTAACGGTAACAGTAACGGTATACGGACACGGACACGGACACGGACACGGACACGGACACGGACACGGACACGGACACGGACACGGACACGGACACAGAGCTATGCCTCGTGTGGGATTCGAACCCGCGACCCTTCAGGCACGAGGCTGCTACGGCTCTTCAGGCCCATTGAGCACTTTAAGACTTGAAAGTGTGAATTACATTTCGTCTTGTGCCGTCTTTTAAGCGTTTGTTCAGTCACATCTTTCGCCAATTCACTCCGATTTATGTTTTTTTCGGTTCCTTGCATTGAGAGGTATAACATACCAATCGTACAAAGGTATTTTAATATTATTATTTCGGAGGGAAGATATTGTAACGAATAATTAAGTGGGGGTTATACTATAAGCACTAGTTTCATAAGTGCATTGAAGAATTTACATAAAATTAGTTGCAATGGCGTATGAGTTCATTGGTATTTGAAATAATTATAAACAACACATATATCATTGGTATTTATTCTCTTCTTGAAATCCTTTGAGTGATAAAGAAAACAATACCTCTCATTCATCAGAAAAATCATAAAAGCTCGGTAATCATGATTTCGAAAAATGTCAGAAGTCACGTCGAACACCTAAACACAAGAGAGTGAACAATTTTCAGTAGGGGAAGACATATTACATTTACATAAATAGTCTACAATATAAGTTGAATATCGACTGTATTTATTCAAATTATTTAGTCTCTTCACGCTTCATATCTTAAGCGTGTCCTGTTTGGGGAGGTATTGCTCCAAAAATCAATAATTCAAAACAAACATTTAAAACAAACTATAAATACCCCTTATCTCTTACACACAAAGTAACATAACATATATCTCCTCTAATCAATAACACAACACTTCTATCTACATCATTACTACTTAGTACACCTCTCCCTGTTCCGTTACCTTCATTGTAGAACGAAATGACCCCGAATACCTCGCACGTCGGGACATCCTGAAGACAGATTCAGCCATCGTATTATCGAAGGACTGTCGATTACATTAAAATTGAATCATCATACCAAACTTCAACCTCGGATCTATGTTGGTTAAAATCGTGAAGAGTTACATGTACTCGTTCTTCCAAAAAAGCGAAAAGTATAGTATATTTTTCAAGGAATGCATAATGATGGCTATTATAAGACTATACTTTCTAACAGATTTTGTTTTATTTGAAACTCATGTATAAGATTTAAGAGTAAGCTTCTAGTTTTACGCCATTGTGTATATACAATACTCTTCTTAAACATGAGTAAATATTTCATAAACTAGAGGGTTTATAACGCAGAGAAAGTTTTGTAAAATACGTCAAGAAAACATTCTCGCTAAAAAATTCACCCTAATACTTTTTCCCCATTCCATAAATGTTGTATATGATTGTTCATAATACTTTTTTTCCTTTTGTGACAATTATTGGAGTGCGTTAGAATGAGCTATTTCCTAAATTAGAAGTGGATTACAAATTTCATTGTCACTGTCGCTGGCTTCAAGATTAATTTTCTGTTAAATGATCAACGCGAAATGTAACGATAAATACGAGTGAATCAATGTATGTGAATGAAACTGGGATATCATTCACTTGTCAATCGCGGTTCAAAGGAAGCGCAAATTGCAAAGAGAATGCAATTCTGCCCGTGAATTCCGAAAATTCTAGGAATGTGATTAGTCGACAGGCCCTGGATTCCGAACTGAAACCCACTGGGTGTGTAATCGATGTTATTCGTCGATTAAATATCTAGAAGGAATACGAATATTAATAAATAGACGTAGAGAAAATATTGTAATAAACATCCTCGATAGGCAAATTTATGAACGAGAAAAAATAAATAAAAAAAGATACTGTTTGGTTTTCAGTCGACAGTAGTGTCACATGTATTGAAAATGTCCTGTTGTTATTCTACGAGTCGACGTAGATCCGTGAAGGATTGGTTTCCCTTTCCGAGCAATGCTCTGAAGTACAAGAGAGAGAGAGAGAGAGAGAGAGAGAGAGAGAGAGAGAGAGAGAGAGACAGATAGACAGACAGACAGACAGAGAGAGGGGGAGAGGGAGAGAGCACAACAATGTGCAGCGGATGCGAACAAGTAGGGCGCGGAACAGGTTCGCTCAGTGAACGGTGACGAACACCGGGTTGCACGCACGCCCTCATCGCCCTCTGAATCTGTTGAACAGCTCGGCGAGTTCTGAAGTAGGCCACCTGGATCTCAACAAACCTCCTTGCAGGTTTTACTTCATCCATTCACAATTGAAAGGGCGGGGGAACTTGGTAATAAATCCTCTAAAATATTTCGTTGGCCACAGGTAAAACAAAGCGTGTGCAAATTGAAACAATTTTCAGTACTTTTTGCATATTTAAGGTCGCTTTGCAACTTCTATGGCGTTATAGCAACTACTGTAACACTGTAACGTAACGGTAACTGTATGGGCTCGCACAAACCTCCATGAGCCGGGTGGCATTCGAACCCGCGACCCTTCAGGTCCGAGGCAGCTGCGGATCTTCAGCCTTAGCGACCTCGGCTGTTCAGGCCGTCTTTCTCAGTTTCTAGGTACACTTTTTTGCTGATTTCTATCCGCACATTGTAGTAATATGATAACGTTTGTACAGCTTTTAGATGTTGATGTATGTTTGGAGGAGGAAAATTCTAAAATGATTTACGATATGTGAAACAAGGTTATCATTATGTGAAGTCCTACTCTTTAATTCTTCATTTCTTCACCAACTCAGCGTAATAGTTCCACACATAAATTGTTTTTTGTAAATGCATCTCAGCATTTTACATGTTGTTACTTGCGTATCAAATATATACAAATTTATATAGTCAGTGCACCAGAAAACTGTGAATTCGAAATTTGAGTTGTGAGTTTTAACTCGGTTAAAAGTGAATTCGATATGGTTTATTTTACTTGTTTTAATAAAACTTTTATTAAATTGTTTCTCTAGTGAACCGGTAGATCAATTTGTCTTCGGCTGCTAAATAAAGATACGGGAATACACCAGCAAAATGCAATTTCGATATGTGACTTTTCTTATGAACCGACGATATAAGTGAGAAATGTTATTTTAAGAGAGACATGCTGGAAGTAATGGCACTAATATGATATACTGAAATTTCATTTATATATTCTATAGCCTGGGCAACTTTTCTCGAGATTTACTTTTGTAAAAGATATAAATACGGTATTTTTAGCATTACCACAGAAGTGTTATATATTCTATTAACAATTCATCTTGAATTAAACCAACGTACGTTTAGTCTACAAAAACAATCAAATAACATAATTTTACCAAACTCAGTGAACGCTACGCCATTGTCCATATTTTACATGAAAACATGTGAAAATGTGTAAATACAAATCTCTTAATTAATCTCTTAAATAATACGCGTATCGATTCCGCATTGTCAATTTCGTTGAGGTTCTAGGTTCAGTTACGGTGGGATTCTAGGAGATAAGAAAACGTTCCAAATTATTTACGTAGAATAAATAATTTATCTGTCTCTTAGACTTTTCGTTAATTTTTAATTAACCTCACTGTTTTATAAATTTTAACTCATTTATATTTATTCTTGAGCACAATAAATATTTCACACTTAACATTTCGTATAAATGCGAATCATTTCCCGTTATTTTTGAGTGATCTTACCATAGCACAAACTATTTTGAAAGTTCACCAATGTGGGTGGGGGAGGTGCTCACCTAACTTACGCGTATGTGACTGCGCATAGTTACTAGGTAAGCGCTTCCGCCAGCGATTTTTTCACCTGGGGGCAGAGACCTTGTTAGTCGTACCATGCGGGCAGGGCTGAGGCATTGAACAGCCGAGGCCGACACCAAATTAGGTTTTTCCATTTCCCGGAAAGCGGATGGGGAAATGGCCCGTAGAAGTAAATGCCTATACCCTCGTTAAGGTATAAGAATTCCATCAATCCGATAAGCATCATACTAATTGATGTGCGCGACAGTACTTTTTCAGAACGAGTATAATAAATAATAATAATAATAATAATAATAATAATAATAATAATTTATTAATATTAATATTACTATTTTTATTATTATTACTTAAACTATTACATATCTATCCAGGGCAAAAACCTCCCCCATTTTTTGGTGGGGTAGCTCCCAAAACAAAAACCTTACGAGGTGAGCTAAAACCTGGCGAAGTAATATTACTAGTCAGTAGCAATAGTTTCATTTTCTTCTCAAGGGTAGTTTGATACATTTTAAAACTTTTATAAAAGGACTAAAAACTCCATTTTTTTAAGTTCTCGCAACATATTTCATTTATGAGAGCAGTTCTGTTTATCTCACAAAAGCTTGAGCATCTATTGAGTAAAAAAATTGATCAAGTGAGATTTGTCCCCAAAATTAGTTTACCTCTTCTTGACACAACGAACGCGAGTTCTGGCTTTATTTAATTTTCAAATAATGATAACAATGTAATAATAAGAATTAACATCTTAATTTTTAAAGAAAAGACATTTTAACATGTTTGAGTTACTAACCATCAGTTACACGTTGCAGTGATAAAAAATTTATAATTATTTGTATGTTATTATTATTATTTACATGCATGTATTCATAGGAAAATACCTGTTGCAGGACAATGAAACCAAACTACTCATTTTCTTGCCGGACGAAGTGGATGGATTTCAGCAATTGGAGAATAACATTCGTCTCATAAACCTTGACGAAATCAAATTTGATTCACTTGCAATGGAAGTGCAGTTACCCAAGTTTAAAATCACCACGAACCTACAACTGAAACCCGCTCTCATGAAGGTATTTGGCATTTAGTTTCTTGATATTACATTAGTCTACAAGATATTTATTTAGTTGCTTCTTTTTTACTCTGGACTCAAATGAAACAAATCATTCAATCTGCAAAACGTTTAATTTGTACAAATGAATGATCCAAAGATAAAAGTAGTTAACCTACAAAATGTGTGTGCGCATACGCGATGCGTATCAATGAAATTTAACTTCTTTCCGTAATAAAAACGGAGAATCATTAATAGTAACGATACATTATTATATAACTGTATGAGTGAAATAAATACGCTATTTAAATAAGTGTCTATTACAGTAATCTTAGCAGTTAATGCTATCTCCTTAAGGAGCAAATGTTTCACTTCTTCCCCGTATTTGGTAGGGTAGAAACAGATTCCTATTCTTCGGTCGTTAAAAAAAGAATTACACACATTGTGCTTTTAGGTGCAGCAACGTTTAACATAATTTCCAAATGAATCTATCAACTACAAATACAAGGAGTGGATTCTCACCGATCTTTCATGTTCCTTCAGCTTGGAGTCGACGACTTCTTCGACCGGCAGAAGGCGAACCTGACGGGCATTTCGGACGAGAAAGGCCTCTTCGCATCCAAGGTTTTGCACAGAGCGGTGATCGAGGTGACAGAGAAAGGCACAGAAGCGGCGGCCGCCACATGTACGTATTTCTTCGCCTGCTCTCGTTTCGACGTGACGGTCGGGCTCCGTGAACGGAAATGGTTCACGAAATTTCGGATTTGCACAGCGCTCCTGCAGGGCGTGCGACAAACTAATAATGAAAAAAAGAATAACGCTATATGCAGCAATACGTCCCAGTTTTAAAAAGAGTTAAGTTTAATAAGAAAATAGGAAATGTTGAATATTTTTCAACCTATCACTTCTTTGATTTACAGAATTGAAAAGATCACGAATTATCAGTAAGTGACATTCGTAAGCATTAAGATATGTTCTTAGCTTCAAAAGCAACAGATAAGACCTAAAACCTTTTTCTCAAGGCGCTGTATTCCAATAGTAAATACTATGCAGGAAGTAAAAATGCGCGAAATTCAAACACACTTTGTTATTAGTAATTCGGATGATGGGTTGTATACCCATCTCGTATTGTAATGGAAATATTAAACAAGCCATAAGTAATTAAGGTGCCAAATAATTTTATAAATTATATTTATTGGACATTTTAATTATTCCATTATGGGCATGTTTAATGCGCGTTAGATTAGATTTGCCATTTAAAATATTATTTCATTTATATACTCTAGCACACTATCCAGTTGAGAAAGTAAAACCAGACGGGTTTACTGTCATTTATACGTGCCAAAATTTTTCAGTATTTCGTGTTAACTTTCGTTCAGCTACAAATTTCACAGTGATAATGAATTTTGAGTGCAAGAAGTGTGTTAATAAAGCAGAGTCCTACAGAAGCAAAACTGCTTCTCTATAAAATCACACAAAATGGCTCTCCAAAACGTAGCAAGCGTATTTCTCAAGAACAAATAAAATGCTTTCGTAAAGCACTAAAAAATTAAATATATTAACAAAAAGGGTCTTTACGAACATTGCAAAAACGTTGAAGTGTATGGATTCATAGTACAATTCTGTTCATCCCAAGTTTATTAAAAACGTTGCTGTTTAATTATGCAACACATGAATAGTAAATATTAAATGGCGGGCGTCATCTTTGGAGCCTTGCGATTGCATGACGTCAGGTCTATCATTAGCAGTGATGCTTTAGTTTTATCAAAATCGAAACCGTTTAATGGATTTTTGTATTTTTCGCGAGTTCCTGGAAACTATATACATGGCTACGTGGCTAGAGGCTGCGTAGTTTTCTTTCAATTTCTGAATATTAATTAGTAATATAGTTATATCTATAAATATGGATAAAACGAGACTCACTCTTCGTATAACAAATAGGAATAATATCTTAAGACTAAACTAATGTGGTTCAAATCATTGATTTACTTCAAAATCGATGTACTTGTACTTACAAACTTATATTAGTAGTAATATTTCAATTCAGGCATACAGCGAGAATTGTGACTGAGTAATAAACTCATTCACTGACTTTCAATTCACTGACTTCACTGACTTCAAATTCATCATTCACTGACTTTCAATAGATCCTTCATTCCTCGACTTTCCAAATTTCCAAGAGTTATTTTCGTATGAAGTTGAATCGATCTACTGTACTCCTAAATTAAATTATGTTCTTTGAGTTTAAAGCAGTAGATAATCTATATTTTTTATTCTCTAATTTTATTTTCAATATTTTTTTGGTTGTAGAAATGACATTGATGAGTTTTCTTTAATCTCTGTTTCAGCTGTTGAACTCACCAACAAATTTGTACCTGACTTTCGCGTGAACCGGCCTTTCATCTTTATGCTGGTTGATGCTTATCAAACAGTTCTATTCATGGGAAGAGTGACGAATCCTCTCGAATAATAAATTATTTATTTTTTAATGTATCTACATATTTTTTTAAATTCTTGAACCAATTTTCCCTCGATCACACGCCAATATAGGTATAAATAGTATTTTAAAATAAATATATGTAATAAATTATAAAATAATATGAAACGAGTGGTAAAAATAACATTTAATTTTGTGAGTAGGAATGGTTGCAACACGAGGCCAATAGTTCGAGTGACGCAATCCTATGGGAAAAATAAAATCACTTTTATTACACTTGTTATTTTTAGACAGCATTACTAACTTTTATTTTATTTTAATTCAAGTATTCAAATCACTTATGATACATTAAGGTCCAAAGTAGCTGATTCGGTCAGATGAAAGTATTTTGTTTCCTGTGTTGAATTTATCGGGTTTCACAGATTTATCGGATGATGTGAACAACGTCTCACTTTTAGCACTAGTGCTAAAATTGAACTTTATGCACCCAACTCATACTCCTGAAAGAACCGCTTTTACTAGTGACTGATTTTTTTTTGTGTGTGTGTGTGTGGGGGGGGGGGTCCTAGCGCATCTCTACGACTTGTAGGGGCCCACGGTTCAGCGCCAAGCAAGGTCATTTAGTACATTCTTTGAAGTGTTACTGTAACATCTGCAGCGACTCTGGTAAGACACAATGGATTTGTTGCGGCCCAAGTCCAAACTTGCATAATTGCAACTTTCGAGTTGGCCAAATGTTGTTCACATTATCCGTAATGGTTTTCTATAGTCTGAAATAGAAACATACTCGAAGCATTGGACTTTAGAGAGGTGAAGTGCACATTAGCCAACATGAGGCAAAATACATAGGAATGTGCATGTTTTCTTGAGCCCAGAATACCTACCCTCTCTCCTTTACCACATTTAGTTCAATTCAGAATAAATTATAGCAGTGAGGTTTGATGACAAAATGTCTTAATAGAAATATTCGTTCTCGTGTAATAGAAACTATTTTTCATGGAAAAAACAGCTAAAGATTTTATATAATAGACTTGTCAACAAAATAATCATACTCCTAAATTCTCTTGCATCTAGCAAAGTGAGGTCTGAAGAAAACGGGCGCGGATAAGAACGTATTCTTGAACTCTGGAATACCTACCACCCACTCATTTTCTAACGTTAGCTGAATAAAAAGTAAATGATAACAAGGATCGTTGGTGATACAATATGATAATCAGATTTGTTCGCACCTGTGTAATGGATAATATTTTGGATTGCAAAACGAGATACAGATTTTATATATTATTCCGCACGTCGAAATAACTAACCTCCTCACTCCTTACACATTAGAGAAATGGGAGCTCAAGAAAATGTGCGTGCCTAAAACCTAGAATAAGTGAATAGCATCATGGAGATGATTAGCAGATATGTGTTACACAGGGATTAGGCAGCTGGTGGAGAGTTTCTAAAGGTTTGGAGAAGCAAGGTGTAGTTTCGAATTACAGGGTCAGCATAAAAATTCTGTTTAAATGGTATTTCTTCCGAACCTCTCTGCAAACCTAATTTTACGCTTTGCTAAGCATTTCGGAGTTGGGACGTTTAGACGGTCCGGTCTTCGGCCTTTGCGATTTACATAAAACAACTTTGCACCTAGGCAAGGCACGATTTACAAGGGTTTTTATGCTAACGTACATATTTCTTGCAAACACACGTGACGCTTTACATTCGAAAAGTCATCTACACTTGACCAGAGCTCTGTGACAAATACCAATATCTGGAGGTAGTTCGAAATTATTCATGCATTGTCATTCACATAGTTTTATCACGTCTGGCTAAAGTGCGTATATTCGGTTACTCATATGCTTAAGCATGTTTCGAATTTCAACCAAGACGTACAAAAGGGGACATAAGCACGTGCCTAGGCGTTAACCCACACTTGTTAGTCTGTTCAAATAATATCAGGAATATTATTATATTAATGTTATTTGTTTTCGCGGTTTGGCCAACTCGTTCCACGCGTGCATCCTGCTTCAGCAGATGCAAGTACTTATATCTGGGGGATCAGCATTTTAGCTGAATCCCGATTTTTATCCCCCAAGGTTCTTAGCCCTGCATTTTACTGTTTATATAAATGAACATAAAACTTGAATTAAATCATTTTGAAATATTTATTCTTTTAAGTGTTTACATTTTTTAATTATATATCTGTATTGTTATTGGTATACCAAATACCAATATTGAAAATTGGCTACATAAGTCATTAAATGAAACCCCAAAAATGGAACATAACAACAAAGTACTGACTAAAGTAAGTTTTAAACTTGAAGTGAGACGTATTATTAAATAAAAAAAAATTATAAAAATGACTACGTTTGTCAGGTACAAATTTAAGCTGATATAACATGAAACTTGAGAGGGAAAGACAATTTTTAAGCGGTTAAGAATAAATTGTCGTTATCAACTAAGAGAGTGGAGGAAGGTTAAAGCAGGAAAGCCTGTCTATTCCCCCTTTCCAAGCTAAATATATGCAAATTCCTACGTCGTGGTCCGTAAATTTCCGAGATATGTTCAAAAGTCAACAGAGGGAAACTCACGCCGAAAGCGTGACTAGATGACAAGTCAACTGATGCATCAAATCGGATAGAGCGCTTTTGGCTGAGAGGGCAACGCGACCGAGCACTAGTTTCACCAGAATTAGCATTAGGTTTTGTCGAACAACGGTGAGCAAAATTCTCCATTTGCCAACGTTACCGAGAATTTCGCTCCTTGTAATATCAAACTATTAACTAGTGATGCTACAATAGTTCGCATGAGGTAGTGTTCAAAGAAAATGAAACTAAACAATTCCTCCTGCTATTTGTTCTACCCGAAGAAAAAAATTAAAGAAAAAAGTAGAACTATTTTTGAGAAGTTTTTTTATAAATTTCATAAACTTCAAGTAGAAAACTACTATTATTTTTCAAAAAATAATATATGACCTTAATTAAAAATATATTTGTTTCAAACTGACTTCGTTAATGATAAAAATCTCCATCATCAGTATTCTACGTTTGTAATTTTTATATTACGAGTAAAAGTTTACATTGAAAGTAAAATGCTCAATATCACACCCTTGAAAATAAACCGTTCTTTTACGTTAAATTACAATTCAAATGGGAAGCCGTGAACAGCTGTCCCACACGTTCACTATTGAAGACTCGACATTACATGGAATGCTCTACAAAGATGAACTTACAAATGCATGAAGATAAAGCATTTGAGAGAGGAATGTTGGCAATTAGAGCTTAAATTGAGCCAAGTGTACCGTGAGAGAAAAATGCACTCCATTACTTCTCAAACAATGTATTTGTATTGACCTTGCTTGTATGTTCCAATTACGACAAGAAGTAGAGCCACAATGGAGGAACTAACTCAATAATAGAACACCTCATTTCTCAAAAGTGTTTACCATTGAAATTCCGCTTTCTATTCATTGAGCAAATATTCATTAACGAAATATTTCCAATGTTTTTAGAAAAAAAAACAATGTCCATATCTTATATTTTAAGGTATTAGCTATGTAATAAAGACATATCTGTTTGTGTAAGGACACAAAAGTATTTAATTAATTATATGATGGCCGTAAATCGACAGTAGATTTTAGGCGATTATTTACTTTCGAAATTCAGTCTTGAGTTGTAGATACAGGTGAAATTATTTTATTTACGATTTAATTGAGATTTTTCTTTCATGTTTAGTGAGATGTATGGGGTAGTATAGGTGTGTATATAACTTACATTCATTGAAAAATATACATAAGATTAAAACAAAATAATTTTTAATCCAATAAAATCTCATTGATACTAATTAAAGTGAGAAAAGAAAGAGGCTGATATTTTCATTTCAAAATTGACCATTCCATTGGAACACGAATGAAACTGTGTCGTTTAAAGTTCTATTCCCATAGAGAACACCACAATTTCTAAACTTCCTTTGCTTCATTACTGTTTGAGGAAATCCCACGTCCTTACTAATAAGAAAGGGCGCGAGTACATGCAAGCCTTACCTACACGTAAAGCTTGAATGTACCATGAATAAAAGGCGAAAATAATAACATTGAAAGCGTGAGAGATCGTGAAAATATTGCAAATATACACTGTCCGTCTGGAAGAGTTTTAATGAGTTTTATTTTCAAATATCTGTGACTATTAAATACATGGCAAATGTATTTTTAATTACATTAGTCGACAGTAATATTGTTAAATGACTAACTCTAGCTGTTTATTAAGTACTTAGCTACGCTAAAGCCGAATATAACTACAAAAATTGCACATCTGACTGAGTTTTTTGTGTAATCGCACACATACTAAAACTATCTACTTTTCGCAGATCATTTATGCTGAAACGTTAGTTGCTTGCAGGTTTATTACAAGGCGTTGGTCGCCTACAATGTATGATACTGTAGATTCCACTCAAGACATAAATACCAGACCGATCAAATCAGTTGAGCAACTTTGGGCATTGCGAAGTGAATTACAGTGACCCACGTCAACGATGTACCTGGGTCACAACATGTTAATTCCATCTTGCGTATGAAGCGAGGAAGGTGTCCATATTTCTGAAGTATAGGACTCATCTATTCGTTACGTTCTAGTGTTCTTAAATAATTTATAGCATTGCAACATTTTGCGATGTTTTGAAATTATTAACATGGTACATGTTGCAATATTTGATTTATTATCTATTAACAAAAAGTAAAAACTGTGTATGAAGTGGTGGGAAGTATAATCATAGTACGTTTTCTTGAGCTTCAGAATTCCTTGCCCACACTCTAACTGTACATAGTTGAATAATAGTAATAATAGTAATAATAGTAATAATAATAATAATAATAATAATAATAATAATAATAATAAATACTGATGTTAGCAACATTTGAAAATATACAAATCTTGGTTCCCCAGGTATAGAAAACTTACAAAATGTGCAGAGGTATGAACTACAGACTTGGTATTGTAGTGTTGCTAACAAAATAACAACCCACCACCTTCGCATCATTTCTTCGTAAGTAGAAAAGGAGACTACAACAAAACGTGCGCGGATTGA